AAAATCTTTAAAAAAAATAAAAATAAAAAAAAAAATAAAAAATGAAAGCACAGTAGGAGACTATGAGATGGAATCAGACTTCCTTTTGGAGTCCCACTGCTATCTTTAAATCTGTTTCCTCACCTGTCGGGGGGCAATAACATCCACCTCCTGAGGTGGTTTTGAAGGTTTAATTAGAAGAGATAACACATGCAAAGCTCGTAGTTCCCTGCCTGACGTCGGTGAGAACATTCAGCCGGTGGCACGGCTGACCGGCCGTGAAATGTTTTCATGTCCTCCTCTGCTGGAATACAAATGGTGTTCGCTAAGGTGGTTGTGATTAATATTTTTATTTCACCTGCCCACAAAGGCGGGACCAGGTGAGGCTACCACAGGGATGAGACACAGGGACAGTGTCAGGAAGGAGGTGGAGGCTCCAGGCTGACGAGGAGCTGGGCTAACCAAGCAGCCTCTCACGAGTGGCTTCTTCCCTGAGAAGTATCTGTTGTCTCAGACATGTAGCTTTAAACCCCAAACCTTCACCCTATTTATTTATTTATTTCATTTATTCATTCATTTATTTATTGTCACTGTCTCTGGCTCTAACCCCAGCAAGCACATCCAGTAAGCCCCACTTTCATGAGGTCCCAGCTGCTCAGAGGGCAGCAGCTTGGGCCAGATGTTAACATGGTGCCCCTCTGTGTGGCTCTAGCTGAACCAGAACTTCCAGAGCATGAGGACTGTGGCTTTTGAATAAAATTTGGGGCCTCGCCTGGCACATAGTGGTTACTCAACTGTTAATGTCAAGGAAGGGCGGAGCTGGAAAGGACCTCATTGTTCATCCATCACAACCCCCTCAAGTTACTGGTGGAGAAACTGAGGCCAGAGAGCAGGATAGGAAAGGACCTGTCCTGGGTCACTAGGTTGTTAAGGGCAAAACCAGGATCTCAAAGCATTTCTCTAGACTTCTACCCCCACAGGTTTTCCATACACCACCCTAAATCTGCTTTGTTTCTGACTTTCGCAAGAATCTCTAGAAGATCATGAAGAGGTGACATCAGAGACTGGGCTCAGAATAGGCCCCAGATCCTTCCTTCCTCCCTACCCCTTATCAAGCATGTAGACATCTTGGAAACTCCAAACCCCGCATCCCCAAGATCACAGCTGCTGGAGCCCCTTACCTGCAGTAGTTTCTGAGGTCCACCTTGGCTGAGCAGTGGTGGGCAGAGCTGTGGGGGCCTTCCCTCCAGGCTTGCTGGTTGTCAAAGTCTTTGCTGAGGCTGTGGTCTTGACGAAGGTGATGTTTGCCTCTCGGCTGCTGTTGGCCATAGTCAGATGGACAGAAGGAAAATGGCTCCTGCTGATGGGGACAGACCCATCGGTTGTGCTGTCTGTGGCAGAAGGCTGGGAGGGGGTGGCGTTCTGGCTAGTGGCTACGTGGGTGTGGCTGTAGGCCGAGGCTGAGAGCCCAGCAGGGGAAGCCACTTTACCCACTGTTGACCCAGTCTCTGTGGAGATTGTAACTGCTCCTGAGACCTCGGTGTGGCTTGTTGTCTCAACAGACAAGACTGAAGTTTCTTCCAGGGGGTTGATGCTGACTGTCACCAAAGTTGTGCTGGGGGTCGTGGGCTCGGCTACTATTGTTTCTCCTTCTATGGTGCTATTAGCGGTTAGCAGGGTCTCAACTGTGGTATCAGGTGTGGCTGGTTCTGTGGCACTGGCTGCTGATGAGGTCTCTGCCAAGGTCATGGTCTCGGTGGAGTGTGATTCTGCCTTGGTGGAATCAAGCACAGCTGACACCTCAGGGGGAGACAAGGCCTTTCCTCCCGTGGGGTTGAGAACTACGTCCAAGGTCCCAAGGGTGGTGGCAGCTATTATTCGGATAATGCTGCAATTGGTAACCTCCGTGTCAGTGTCGCTGTAGGACAGCAAGTCTTTAGCCAATGCAGTCTTGTCAGGTGCCAGGGCCTGTGAGGTGGTGATGGCCAGAACTGAGCGGTCTGAGAAGGCACTGCTGTCTGAGGCCAGGCCCTGGGCTTCTGCAGAGGTGTGAGTCACTGTCAAGATGTTGGTTATGATCCTCTTTGCCTCTTTTGAGCTGTCATCAGTACAAAGGGTGTCAGAGACAGATTCCACAGGATCACTGCCTATAACAGTCTCAACTGTGGTCATTCCAGTTCCCATGGGGCTGCCACTTGTGGCTAATGCCTCCATAGGAGTGGTGATCACAACCATGAACTTGGACGGTATCATTTTTGTGAAGGCCCTGGTCTCTGTTGCAGGAAAAATGGTCTTGGTTTCCCTAGTCTCTGCTTCTGAAATGGTGCTGGCCAGGATTAAGTTCTTATCAAAGGTCTGGGTGCTCAGGGTTTGAGTTTCCAAAGGGATGTGACTTGGCGCAGAAGTCTCAACAAGGTCAGTGGTCTGGAATGCTCCCTCTGAACTTGTCTCGAACCCCGGAGTCATGGCAGGCTCTTCTATGTGGTTGGTTGTCACCAAAGGACCTGGTCTGCTGGTGCTGGGGTCTGTGTTGGGTAAGACCAACATTGTGAGCCATGAGTCTCAGTGGACTAACTTCACACATGCTCTTGTGTTTACTCCCTGGACACCCTGGGAGGAGGGTGGGGAGGGGAAGTTGCTTTTATGCCATTTTTCATCTATACATACAAGGAAGAAGGAAGCACTATCATCAGGAAGACCGGTCCCTTGTGTAAGCCATGGAACTGGGATCACCTGAAGAATGTCCTCTGATGACCCAGTTGAGGCAAGCAAGCCTCAGAATCTAGTTGATTATTGGTCTGAAGCCATCAGAGGGAATGCATGGGGCCAGGATCCAGCTTCAAGGGGGGGGCAAAGAAGGCAGAAGTCCAAGTGAGCCAAGAACTAGAGCAGGGACCCGACTCTCAGAACTTTCTGAAAGAATCCTTGTCACTTTCTCACCGATACTTTTCTCATCCAGCAGATGTTTCCCCCATGGAAGTAAAAACCCTTCAAATACAGGAAACATCTGTGGTTTTGTATTTAGAGGTAGCTGGGAGGATGGGGGAGAGGAACCTCCACAGACAGAGTAGGTGATGGCTGCTGCAAAAGGGAAGGGAGCAGGCCGAGTCCTTGGGAAAGGGGCAAGCTTCCCATTCCTACTCATCTGACATGGCAGGGATGGGACCCCAGAGCTACAGAAATGATGCACCAGCCATGTTCCACAGGTAGCAGTGAGCCAAGGGAGGCAAACGTCACTCCTTAAAGAGATGCTGTTAGCATTTCTCCACAGGGCAGAGCATCTCTGTCCACTCAACAGACCCTCGGAAGTTGTATGAGCGGTGGGTTGGGTGGCATTCATTGCCTGGGGGACTACAGGAGGATCTTTTCATGGGCGGACAAGCATGCTTCTCCCGTCTACGGAGGAGGAAGGGCTCTCTCTGTAAGTGGGCCAACGACCCTTTTGGGGAGGGTTGTGAGATTTAGCAAATAAAAATACAGGATGCCCAGTTAAATTTGAATTTGAATTTCAAATAAACAAGGAATAATTTTAATGACAAATTATGTTTTTAGTATGTGTACTTCTCATGTAATATTTGAGACATACTTACAGAAAAAGCTTTGTTACTTGAAATTCAAATGTAAGTGAATGTCCTGTGTTTTATCCAGTAACCCTACTCTTGGAAGGAAAAGAATCAAAATATAAGCCCCCCTTTTTGGGGTTGTGAAGATTTGAGATGGTCTTTACTGAGGTCTACTGGCCCAAAAGTACCCAAGGACCCCAGGGAAGTACAGGACCATTTGGTCATGTACTGTACCCTGGCTGTCGGGATGGGGCCCCAGATCCTCAGTTTGTCCTCTTGTGTCTCTCCCTCAAAGATAAAAGAGCACTGGGCCAGGAGGCAAAAGACTGGGCTCCTGCCCTAGGCCTGTTTCAACTAGCTCTGGAGTCCTGTGATTGACTGGTTCAAATCCTGACTCTGCCTCCTACCAGCTAAGCCAGTCACCCGACCTCTCCATGCCTCCCTTGTGAACGAGGGTTATCCTACCTGCCTTGCTGTGGTGGTGAGGACCAGAGGAGAAGGGGAATGGGAAAGTCTTATATCCCAAAGCCAGCAAGGGTCACTAAGCATCCCTCCACAGCCTTGTCCCCTCCAAGAGGCACTTGAGAGCACACAACCTTCTTTAATGCGGTGAGAATGGCAGGCTGTCCCCACATGCAGATCGGGTGAGTCATGGCATCCACTCTCATTAGTTGTTCACAAATCATGCTTTTATGGGAATATACTTGCTTCTCCCCACTTCAAAGCCCAGGATATTTCTCCAAGCTTCCTCAGTCCCCACACGGTGGAGTCAAAGCCTTTCTGCATCAACCTACACAGCCTAAAGCCCAAACAGGTGTTCTTGTGGTCTGACCACCGACCTCCGCGGAAGTATTTTTTGCCTTTTCCAGGAACCCCGTGTTATCATCCTGCTGTGAAACCTCATCGTGCTTCCCAAACCATAGCCTCTTCACACCCCCCTGGGACTCTCACACCACTTACCCAAGTCTCCTGCCCACCAGAGGTCTTCTCAAGAACAGCAAAGCCTACCCAGCCCTGTACGGCGCTAGAATGTTGCAGCTCTCCTGGTCCCTTCCTCAGATCAAACTGGCAGAGAGGAAGGTGTGTGTACTTTGGACCCTGAGTTTGAGTCCCTGCTCTGCTGCTTACAGACCATGTGACCCTGGCCAAGTCTCTGGGCTCCAAGCCTGCATTTTCTCATCTCTCAAATGGAGCTAAGGGTACCTATTTCGTAGGGTTGTGAATATTAAATTAAATTAAATGTAAAACATGCAGCACAAGCCTGGCAGATCATGAGTGCGTACAGAAGACAGAGTGGTCTAGAGGCTAGGTGCATGCAGAATAAAATCCTGGCTTTGCAGATGATTTGTTGAATCCTGGTAAGCCTCAGTCCCATCACCTCTGGGGGCAGGGGTGGGTAGGAATAAGACTAGTGTCTCTCTAATGGGGTCATTGTGAGGATTAAAAAAGACAGAGCTTGGGACATCTCTGTACCTTCCTCTCAATTTTGCAATGAAACTAAAACTGCTCTAAAAAATAATCTTTTTTTAAAAAGATAATGCAGGATGCTGGTAGAAGGAGAGACTATATCTGGGGGGGAGGTACAGAGGTTATATGGGAATCTCTGTACTTTCTGCTCAATTTTGCTGTGAACTCTACAAAAAAAAAAAAGTCTATTTAAAAAAAAAAAAAAAGACAATGCATGCGCCAAGCTTGGCACGCTTCCTATTACACATCTATGTTAGTTCTCTTCTTTTATAAAAGCCCTGCCCCCCTCAGAATCCACCCCTCCCAAGCAGTCTGTGAGACTCTTCACACACAAAAACTGGTTTTTAAAGGAAATCTGGGCTAGGAAATAAACTTGGAGGATTTTCTTTGGTTTTAGTCAGATTTATCCCCAGCGGGTACCCCCCTGGCCCCTTGCACTCCTCCACCTCCATTGCCCCCCCTCCATCCCACACAAAAAGGCAAACCCACAGTCACCGCACCAGGACATCACTCATTCTAAGGACCGAGGCGTCAGATGTGGGGCAGCTGACACACTGGCATTTGCATACCATTTATCAACAATAGGAGAATACTTCAGATGTAGCTTTATGGTTAATTGCAATTAACCCAAGAGGGCTGCTGGTGCAGAAATTCACACCCAGAGCTCTGTCAGGAGAGAAGCCCCCACCTCCTTACCTGCAGAGCTCCCGGGGGCCCCAGCCTCCCAGCAGAAGAAAAGGGGCAGAGCCAAGCCCCAGAGAAAGCCCATCCTCGGGGGAGCTCCAGCCACCATTGCCCAGCACGTCTGCCCACTGCCTCGCACTGCCACCTTTTCCTGCTTCCTCAATCCAGGGAGGAGGGGCAGGCCACCTGCCTTGGTGTGACTGGATAGTTTCCAGAATGCAGCCAGGTAATTACAAATGCACAGGCTGAGAGCTGGCAGGTGAATGTTAAGGGCTGTCAGCAAGCTAACCCTCCTGCCCACTCCCGGCCCAGTGGCCTCTCCTCTTTAGAGGTTTGGAGGAGTTTGATGGTAAGATGTGGAATCATTTCCATAGTGATATTCACCCCCTCAGTCCTGCAGCCGGGGAGGCCAGGGAAGATGGTGTTTCACATTTCCCCCCTTTCTACAACCCTTCCTCCTCCCCCCACCCCTGTGCATGGGACTTAGGCTTTTAGTTCAGTAGACCTGGGTTTCATTTCTAATCCTAGCCTTTATTAGCTCTGTGATCTAGGGCAAATTAAAGAACATTTCTGAAGCTCAACTTCCTGATCTATAAAATGGGCATCATCCTTACCTTGCTGGGCTGTTCTGTGAGGATCACACGAGAGAGTAAAGCTCTTACACAGTGCCTGCTACATACTGGTTGCTCATGGAATATACACACATCCGAGGTGCTCAATAAATGAGAGCCCGCAGGTCGTGAGATGGAGCCCCATGTTGGGCTCTGCACTTGGCGTACAGACTGCTTAGGACTGGCTCTCCTCTGTCTCTCCCTCCCCCTGCTAAAATAAATAAATAAAATTTTAAAATAAATAAGTGAGAACCCTGGCATTTACCCTGATCCTCAAGCGATAGAGAGAAGGGACAGCCCCCCAAGGTCTGCAGGACACAGGGTGGAGCAGGACTCTGATCTCTAATGTCTTTCCAACGATTCCTGTGATTCTGCGTCCCTGTCAGGGTCAGGACCACGTCCAGAGCCAGAGTGGAATGCGGGATGGGGAAGGCACTGGCTGGGAGAAGGGAAAGTGTAGGTGTGCAGGACAGAGTCACAGGGCCTGGGAGGAGGGAAGTGTGAGGGCAATGACTTAAGGAAGCTTATGGGATTTGGCCATAAGAAGGGGAGTGAGGCTAAAGAACGTATTTTCAAATGCCCTAGAAAAGAATTTTACCCCTTCCAGGGGCCAAGAAAGGAGCTGTTATGGCCATGGCCAGTGGCGGACAAGGTACCTTGGAGATTTCAGGGCCAGAGTTTTGTGATGAAAGCCACTCTAGAGTAGAGTGGATCAGCATCAAGAAATCACAAAATCCCACTGCTGGAAGGAACTTCAAAGTGCAATCAGAAAACCTAAGTTCTGTTTCCAGCTCCTTCCTTAACTGTGGCCCAGGAACTGTGTGATTTTGGACAAGTTATTTGCCTTCTCTGGGTTTCCATCAACAAGGTCCTCTTGGCAACGCAGTCTGAGGTTCTGCATTTGGGTGTGAGACACTGTCTTCTAGAACTTCACCCTGCGCTGGGATAAAGAACTTTGCTGCCTAGAAGGAGGGAGTCATTCCAGAACATAGGGGAAGACTCTGTGAGAAGAGGCTGAGGGGGTCCACCTGGGACACTGCCCAGCATGCCGAGTCCGAGATCTTGAACCCCGGTTCCAACTACACCATTGATCTGTAGAGTACCCCTGACAGGCTGAGCCCTTCCACCTTCCCATTCAACCTAAATCTTTCACTTTATCAAATGGGAGGATGGATTTCCCCTTGGGGAGTTTCCTGTGAGGAAAGGAGGCCCTGGGGGCCAC